CATGCCCGAATTTCTTGATCTCAAGGAACCATATAAATGTGAGTGATGCCAGCCGCAGCTGCAAAAGAAACTCCACTAGTACCAAAGTGAGAGACAAACATAGGGTTGCGAACCAGCAATTCTGCCTCTCATTCCATTCACATACCCTAATCAACTCAATCCCTAGAGAACAGGAAAGCTTTCCAGGGGAAGCTATTGTTATCAATGAATAAAGACTATGCTCAAAGGTCTCAAGTCATATTCCATCTAGACAAATCTAAATAAGAAGAGATATTGATTTTTCTGATACATGTAGCTTAAAGGAAAAACTAAATGTCCAGGAACAAAGCTCAAAAGGCCAAAAATTTCAGGAACTGGAGAAAAAAAATGATTGGAAGATCTAGCAAAAAATTAATATTCATCAGACTAGGGTGGAATATAAAATGACAAGTGAATACTAATTTCAATGTTACAGAGATAGTTGCTATGGAAATGGATATCTTGGTTAAAACATAGAATCCAAACATACCCTGGGACAACAGGATATGCTGTAACGCCCCATTGGTTCTTGACCATGTGAAGGTCCGAGTGACAGATCCCGCAATATAAAACTTTGAACCTCACATCCTTATCACCAGTAGCCCTGCACGGTCAGATCAAACACATTCTCATCATCAACGAATCAATTAACAAGGTCACACAGATCTGTTTAAATTTGAGTTAGTACACACATAAACTCCGGAGGATCAAGGAAACTCTCAATGGGGATTGAGAAGTCAACTCTCACCCTGTACTGTACCACCACGAGCAATAAGCCAAACAAGGCTTTAACCCCAAGAAAAATGCTTTTCTGTCTGCAAGCCGGTGTCCTCATCGAGCTTCAAATCGAGATCAGTGGCAAAGCGCTCCACATGACCCCAATCCAAGCTCAAATGCATNCTCATCGAGCTTCAAATCGAGATCAGTGGCAAAGCGCTCCACATGACCCCAATCCAAGCTCAAATGCATAGGAAATTGTTCCAAATCTATATATAAATAAACCCTATTTCGATTCATTCCTAAAACGACATAAGGTTGTTGATTATCAGTTCACATCTGATCTGGTTCCAACAAGTGTAACAACTCTAGCTAAAATCTTTGAAACTAAATACATTTTTACAAAACTAGATTTGCCGTAGAAAAACAAACCTTCTTGAAAAGTTGAAGGGAGAGAGAACACCAGATGGGTTGCTAGCAGCCCATCCAAAAGCCTTCACTGGGTGCGCCACTTCTGGTGATTTTGCCATCGAAAACTCCAACTGTTTTGTTCTCTTTATTTTGTTTTTTTCCTGAAAATGTGTGTGTCAAGAAATAGTATTGGTGACTGTGGATTTTGTGATGGTGGCATTATTATATAGGTGGGAGTAGGATATTAACTCCATTTATGATAATCATTCAATTTTTGACGGAATAATTATAATTTGACAGATTATTTAATTAAGAATTAAAATAATACGAATTAAATAAATTAACACAGTAAAAATTAAATTAATAAAAATATATATATTTTAAGAATTAAAAATATTATTAACCCTAAAAATAAATCATGCATCGAAAAGTTCTCTGGTATAACTGCCTGAGTTCAAAATCCTTGCATCTTGTCAACAAAGTTTCATCTATATAATAAAATAGTTTATAATTCAAATATCAAAAGATAAACAAAATAATTTTTGTTATTCGTGGTTGACATCGCTTTAAATTTTACTTTAAAATTAATCTAACGGTTAATATTAAAACTTTAAATTTAATATGAAAAATTAGCTCCCTAAGGGTGTGTTTAAAATAATTTTTTTAAAAATGTTTCTATAAATTATTTTTTATAAGCATTTTAAAAAACAAATATTGTTTTGAACCGCTCCATCACTACTTTTACTACCACCACTATCGTCGTCACCACCACTGTCACTGCCACCTCCACTGCCATCGCCACCCCCAACCACCACCGTCGCCAGTGCCACCTCCACCTCCATCATCGCCTCCACCACCACCACCACCTCCGCCGCCACCATCACCACTGTCATCATCGCCGCTGCCATCACCACCATTGTCACTGCCACCACCACCCCCCACCTCCACCACTGTCACTATCGCCACCACCGTCGCCACCATCAAAGAAGCCACCACCACCACCGCCACCTCCACCTCCATCATTACTGTCGGCACCACCACCACCCTCACAACTATTGCTGTCTCCTACCAGCACCACTACTACCCAGTGCCCATTATCTCTTACCCCCACTACAAACTAATGTTTAAATTCTTTTATCTCTTTTCTATTTGTGATTTAATTTTGAATATAAATACAAATATATTTATTGTTTACTATTTTTTATTACTTTATATTATTCGAGCATAGGCAATAACTAGTTATTTAATATAGTAAAAAAAAGTTTAATATTGAAGAAATTATTTTATAAAGTCTGCAGTGGATCACTAACGTGCATACCACGTTTTCATATCAAAACAAGATTCGAGAATTAATTTGAAGAGCAAACAACTTCGGATTCCAAAATTTATAATATTCAGCGCAAATAATTCCAAATAAATTCCCACCAACCCCGCATTCATGCATATACATATCTCTCTCTCTCTCTCTCTCATGCATTCATTTATGCAGACACAACGCACCAACAGTCAGACTGCCTCCGCAACTACCAAGCTCAACCAATCCTCATAACTTCTGGATAAGATAAGAGTTTAAAAGCTATAAAGTTTCTAATGAATTTGAGACATGTATGACTGGGTTTAATGAAGGGTAAATTACACTTTACTCTAAACTATTACCTTCATTTTATTTTACACTTTCAACTTTAAAATTTCATACATTGTATCATAAAGTATTATTTATATTTCATATTACTTCAATAATTAACGATTCTCAATTTTTTTTTACCATAAATGGGAATGTGAGTGGTTTGTATTGTCAATAAAACTATCTATTATTACATGTGTAGATCAAAAATCAAAAAAATATTTATTTATGACTTTACCCTTTTCAAATTTTTCTCCCATGTTTGATCTTCTTTTTCTCCTCAACAATCAATTGTTTGCAAAACACGTAAAATAAAATGGTAATAAGCACTCTACAGGAAACTCTTTGGGGTTTCTCCTCCCTAACCAACCGAGAGTCGCCACCCATGCGTTCAAGCCATAATTCCCCTTCGTCTTCCCTAGCCCTCCCTTACCGGCAGAATGCTCCCTCTTTCTCCAGCCGCAATCACCCTTCCTCCAATTAAAATTGCCACCTTCCTCGGTGAAAACTATTTACCTCCACAGTGTCCTTTTCTCAAAACCACCTCCTATTAAAGCCCCATCCCAATCGAGGTGATTCCCAACACCCACCACCATCTCCCATGGTGGTTCTCTTCGTCCATCGGATCAAAATCGCATCCAACCTAACCCGCATCGGCATCAATAAATGAGGGATAATAAAGGGAGAGACAGAACAAACACACACACACGCAACACCATTAGCAGTCGAAACCCACATCTACTTCCAGTGAGGATTTCTTTGATTGATTTAATCTAAAATTTTGCGTCTTAATTTGCTGTGTTTTTTTTTCTAGCAACCATGGCAGAGTCGAGTTTCCTGTGGTGGTGCATTTACAGTGGTGATGTTGGTTTGGATTTGTAGTGATGGGGCATCTTTTTTCCTTGTTATTGGTTGGTAGGTAGCTGGTGCTTGATTTGGTAGATGCAGGCAGTGGCGGTGATTTGGTGGCAGCTACGTTGGTGCCAATGGCGTTGGTGTTGTTGGTGGTCTACTCTTTACTGAAGGATTGGGAGCTGTCGGTCAGGTTGATTAAAGAAAGGAGAACGAAAATGGAGGTCAATAAATTCTAAGGGTACATAAGTAATTTTGTAAACTTCCGTTCAACTCATCTTTTAATTTAACGTTAATTATACCGGAATTCTCCCACAATAAAATTGGTCTCATTTTGATCTCTAATATTTTAATTATTTTATTTTATTCCTTCAAGTATTAAATTTATTTTTATATGGTCTTTCAAATAGACAACATACAAATTGCTAAAAGAAATTTATCATAAATTTATCACATAATACATAAATATGGATAAAAAATAACTTGAGCAGCTCTATACCAAAATTTGTGTAGCACTTCACCAAAAATGTATAATATGGGTACCTCTTAACTAAAATTGGGATATTTTATGATCAAAACTGTATAATTTTAGTAACTCTTTGACCAAATTTGGGATAAAAATTTGATCAAGTGTTATGGAAATTATTCTTTTTATCCATATTTATGTATTACGTTATAAGTTTATAATAAAAAATCGTTAATAATCTAAACATTATCTACTTGAGGGATCACATAAACATATATTCAATAATTCAACGATTAAAAAACGCGATTAAAGTATTAGAGACTAAGATAGAATAAGATTCATACTTTGAGAATTTCTAGTACAATTATTCCTTTAATTTAATGGGAGATACTATGCTTATCAAATCTTCATCTCAAATAATATGACACAGTTTTTCACTATCAAAAAAGTAGATCTCATTAATATTTAATGACAAAAATTATACCACAACATTTAGGATGAAAGATTTGGTAAACAAATTTGGTTAGCATAGTATTTTCCTAATTTAGTCCATCCGAACTTAAAGATGGCAAATTGCTGAAATTAAAAGCAGGGGGAATCCGATTGCTACATGACTCAAACTTCAAGGGGGGACAATTTGTAATTAACCATGCTTTTTAAAACGTAAAAATATAACTTAATCACCTTCCCACCACCTGCAGTTCCCCAAGGCCACCACACTAGACCTGAAAAATATTCTATAGTTTACTAGCCAAGCCATGGTTTTCTTCAGGCGTTCCAGATGATTTATATGATTTGATAGGCCAAAGTCTACAAGTTTGGTATTGAAATTAGTATCCAGCAAAATGTTGTTTGATTTGGTACCCTGGTGAGCCAGCAGCTGCTCCTAATCTTCCTATAGGACAGATCAGCTAGTAGGTGGACTGGGCCCTAAGGGCAGAGTTGCCATGGGTGGCCACTGTTCGAAAGGTGAATTGGTTAGGTATAGTTAAAAGATGTTCAACGAGCCAAGCGGGCTTGCAAGTAGATTGGGTCTGACTCAATTTTAATTTAGTTTGAGTCGATCCATGTTATAAAATGATTCGATTCAAAACAAATATTTAAAATTATTTAATATTCGAATTAAGTGATGTCAAGCCTGAACTATTCGCGAGTCGATTATTTTTTTTTTACTTGTACAAAAATACATATGCATTTATTACAAATTTAAAGATTGCATGAGTAAAATAAGCAAAGAAAGTAATTTATGCCATGCCTTCGTCTATCCATCATGCTAGACTCGTCACCATCTCTCTCTCTCTCTCCTTTGAATAATATAACTCGAGTTGTTGACTCTTTTTTTCTCTCTTTCAATCTCCTTCAGTGTCAGAGACACTCTATTTCTCCCCCATTACTCTTTTTATGGTTTTAATATCCTTCAACCCTAAATCATCTCGATCTCCCTCTTTTTTTTTTTAATTAAATTAATAGTTTTTTTTTTTTGAGGAGACGGGGAAGGGGAAGGAGAAGGGGGAGGAGGACTAAAATCCTTGACCTCAAGAAGACAAAATTTTTATAGGCCAAAGAATACAATTGAACCAAAGACCCATTAATATCTCGATCTTTCTCTCTCTCCTTACCACCACGATGTTCCCTAATCCAAATGATAGAAAAATACTCATCTATAATTATTGATTTTTGCAATCAGCTATCAGTGTATACACACATTTGTATATATTACGTTTATATGTTTTTATTGTGATTTAGAAGTACTTGTGCTAGTTTGTATTAAAATTTAGATTTGTGTATTTTTGTGAAATTTTTTGATTGGTTATTTAAAATTTGTGGATTTGATTTTTTTTTTTGTTGAATAACTCATTTTTTGTCTAGATCAACTCGAATTCAACTTGAGCCAAGTTTGAACAATATTTAGAGTTCGATAGGCAAGTCAGACTCGAGCTTGAGCAATCGTTGAATAACACGAGCCGAGCCTGAGCATAGATAGCCAAGTTTGGAAGACTTAGCTCGATTAATATCCCTAGGGATATTGGATGATTGTAGTGGCCCACCAGATGATATGTATAAGGATGGTAATTTTTGACCCGACATATAAATACGACTTGAAATCAATATAAAATTAGCGAGCTATGGTTGATCATTTCTTGACATGAACCCGTAAATAATATGATTTGTTAACGCAAATAATAAATGAGTTAAATTAATATCAAATACAAATAACAAGAAATTTATACTATTAACACATTACATTTAACTAATATTATAAGAATAAAATTCTTGATTTTTGTTATTTTTTCTTGAGCATCGCCATTATCCTTATACAAAAAGAGGATTTTTTTTACTTTTTTTTATTTCACGGGATATATTACAAGTTTTTATTGCAGGATTTGTAATTATATTTTTATTTCACAGGATAGATTAATCAACACAAACACGATACAAAAATAAACAAGTCAAATGGATATGATACGATTAATTAAAAGAGTTATGTTCAAATCGATTAATACTCAACACGAACCTGTAAATGACATTACATGACATGACACGACATGCTTAATTAAATGAAATGGGTTCGAGTTGGCTATTGGACGAACATATAAATGACATGAAACAACACAATTGCCACCTCTGATCACATGGATGCCCACTTGATGTAGAACAAGAATTACTATTTTTTAGGTTTTTATTTTTATTATATTTTGGTGGCATGAGACTTTATATAAGAATATTCTAGAGTAATTTGCAATCCATTAGGTATATGTTTTTTTTTTTACTAATTTTTCTAAAATTAGAGATTTGAGTCTGTTTTGGAAAACTTTAAGCGTTCGCAGATTTCTATAAATTGTCATATGTACAAGAATTCTAATGAAGTTAATTGAATAATATCATATTTTGAAAGTTTTTTTATAGAGAGAGGGTTTAATGTAGAATAAGAATTACTGATTTTTATATTTTTATTTTTAGTATTTTTGTTGGGGTGAGACTTTACTTAAGAACATTCTTAATTGATTCGCTGTCTAAACCATATAAATTTTCTTAATTGCATTAGGCATGGGTTTTTAATAATTTTCCTAGGGATTTGGCTTTTTAAAATTCTGACATGCATTTGGAAATTTTATTGTGATTTATGCTGGAGAGTTGATCAGTTACATATCCTGATAACTGGGGGGGTTCCACTCAGTTGGTGAATAAATTGTAATGAAACTAGTCTAAGATCCACGACAATAACACAATCATTTATTCAGTTATCTGAAATAATCCAAGCAAAATATGGCAATCATTGAGGAACCTTCTCCTATACCAATCACAGAAGAGAGAAAAAAAAAACACAAGGACACAAACCTAAAACCTGTCGAGACAAATTCTCATTAAACCAACAAACAACCCCAAAGGAAATGCAAAACCATGAATCACATGTATCAATCTAGGCAGCCTTCAAGGTATTTCCTATGTCGATAACAAATCGATATCTAACATCAGATTTCACAAGGCGTTCCATTGCATTGTTCACATAATCCATAGGGATAATCTCAATATCTGCTGTAATATTATTTTTTGCTGCAAAATCAATCATTTCCTGTGTTTCCTTCATGCCGCCAATACCACTTCCAGCCACTATCTTTCCTCCTACAGTTCCACATTCCATGTTAGATATAATTTAATATTTGAACACAGTTGGATGGTGAGTTGTATATATTTGTAAGCAAAACTAGTAATGTTTGAGTACTTACCGGCAAGCAAAGGAAATAGTGGGAGTTCAAGAGGCTTCTCTGGTGCACCAACCATAACAAGCTTCCCATGAGTCTTTAGCAGATTAATCAATGGCATTATAGGGTGAACTGCCGATACAGTATCAATAATACCATCCATTGTGCCAATTGCAGCCTGTGCATATTAAACACGACCACATGACAATTAGTATGTACTTAAGACACTCCATAAGTTTACGACAATAGTGAAAACTTAAAATTAAGGGGCAGTAGTATTTTTTATTCCTAAATATACATGTTTTATTAGATTAGTTGTCGTTGTATCAATTTTATCAATTTAGTCTCTAAAGTATTCAATCTGTGCATTTAGTCCGTAATCAGACAATTTGTTAAATTATTTTATGAAAGTGACCACTTGACCTTTTTTTAGATGATATCACGTGCCCGTGGTCATTCTGTCAAAAACTTAAAGGTCCGTCTATGTAGAGATCAAAATAACATGAATTGAGTATTTTAATAAACAAATAGACAAAATTGATACAACGATAACTTGACAAAAAATGCTTATTTTGGAGACCAAAAGTCCTATTAACTATAAAACTAACCATTACCTCCATCTGATGTGAGTCGCGACTGATCAAAAATGAATCCGCGCCAAGTTGTTTAATGGCTTCATCCTTCTTGTCTGGAGATGTACTAATGACTGTTACCTTCATCCCAAAAGCCTTTGCAAATTTCACTGCTACATGACCCAATCCACCTAAACCCACCACCCCTAAATGTATACCAGGCTTGTCGAATCCAAAGTATTTCAAGGGGCTATAAGTTGTAATCCCAGCACATAAAAGAGGAGCACCAGCATCAAGAGGAAAGTTTTCGGGCCATAGAACTACAAAATGCTCATTAACAACCATTATATCAGAGTAACCTCCGTATGTCGGGGTTCCATCATAATTGGTGCCATTGTAGGTTAGTATCACTTTGGGACAATAATTTTCGAGATCATTGACACAATTGTCACATGAGTGACACGATCCAACCATGCAACCTACACCAACTTTGTCCCCTGCTTTGAACTTTGTTACTTTGCTACCCACTTCTGACACTACACCCACAAGCTCATGCCTGTTTTAATCACAATATGTTTATACATATTACATATATAAGAAATAATTAATAAATGGTTCAGATTTTCTTCTCCATATAACAAACTATGGGAGGTATCCACCAAAAAAGTTATTGAAGCCGCAAGTATATCAAATGTGTGTGTGAGAGAGAGAGAGGACTCGCTTGATTTTTTATTTATTTATTTTTGGTTACAAAGTGTCTAAACTTGCATTGAGTACTCTTTCTAGCTTAACGGTTGACTACCATTACTTGAACTAGGTTAGAATATGTTCGTAAAGGGACAAACGTGGGTAGCTCTTAGGGGATGTGGGAAAGGTTTGAAACTGAGACGTGTAGATTATCAGAGATCATACTTAACCAGTGAACCACCTTGAGGGTTTGCTCGAGATATTTTGAGACTTAAAGTGAGTATTATAAATGAGATTGTTCAATTGAAATTTATTCATCTCGCTCTTTAAGATATTAAATAACTAACTAAGTTTTTGTATTGGTAACATATCTTTCTAAATTTATGGTATGACCAATCTATTTAGTTTTTCTTGTGGCTGAATGTTGAGCCGGCACCAGAGAGAGAGAGAGAGAGAGAGAGTAAACATACCCAGGCACAAGAGGATAGGTAGAGAAGCCCCATTCATTTTTGACACTGTGAAGATCTGAGTGACAAATCCCGCAATACAAAATTTTAAAAGTCACATCTTTATCACCCGTAGCCCTACCTCATCAGATCAAAGCACATCACCATATCATTATAAATATGCCGATATCTTAAAATGAAAAGGAAACCATTGCCCTCAAGTGAAAAAGCATATTCAAGCAATGTAGACATGTTAATGTGAGTTCCTATATCTTACGTGTAGTGAACAATAAAAAAAAAATTTGCTCATCGCATACCCCAACTATGAAACATTAACGGGGGGAATAGAATACCTTCTTGAGAAGTTGAAAGGAGAGAGGACGCCAGATGTGTCTCTGGCTGCCCATCCAGTGGCCTTCACTGGTTGCTCTGTCTCTGCTGATTTTGCCATTAGAGACTACTTGGAATAAAATGGAATCAAAGAATTTTCAATACAGAAAGCGTTCGAAAAACTTCAGTGCGTGTTTTGAGTAGTGAGTTGGGTACAAATGGGTTGTAGTTCTATATATAGTGCTTGGACATGGCATGAGTTGACACAGTCGATGTGCTAAGCGTAAGAAGAATCAAAGGTGGTCACAAGTTCGACTAAATATGAGTAAAGGAAAAAACAAGTATAATCACCACCTTCTCCTTCGAGGGGACAACCATAGTCCTTTGTTGTCTTACATTCTTGGACTCGGAATTATTTTCTACTTTTTCACCTACATCAATTGGGAAGGGGATTCAAACCTAAGTCTTCTAGATTATTACAAGTCACATGACATTGCTTAAATAAATTTACAGTTCTCTGAATTTATCTAGAGAAACTTGGAGCTTCACGACTAGTAAATGATCATGAATACGAAACTTGTCGTTAAACCATGATAGAAGTTGATCAATCATAGTGTTAAGGCGCCATTAATAGTGAACAGGATGGATCTGTAGATGCCCATCCCTAGGCTTTCACTGGGTGTATCTTTTCTGTTGATTTCACCACCATTTTTAACCTTTTTTTTGTTTGTGTGTGTGTGTGTGTGTGAGAGAGAGAGAGAGAGAGAGGTTTGGAGTAGAGTACTGTTGGTGACATAATGCAATAGAAAGGGACATCAATTAGTATTCTTGGAATAAAATGGTCTTTGGTGGTAGCGAGCGCCGGCAGATTCCAAACTCCACGCATTGTCAAACTAGTATGGTTTGTCGGTGTCTAATAATTNGAGCGCCGGCAGATTCCAAACTCCACGCATTGTCAAACTAGTATGGTTTGTCGGTGTCTAATAATTAAGCTCTTCTAGACGTTACATCCCAAGTTTTCACTTTGTGACATCCCAAGTTAATACAAAACAAAAATGATTTAATAACCCAATTGGTAAAGTTGCATTACAGATTAAACTATAATCGATAACACCTAGTCAGTCCCTAAGACAATGCACTTGAACTTGATATGTGTGTGTGAGCACAATGTTATCATTGTATATAATATGAATAATGCTATATTGATAAAGTTTTTGAAGGGTCTTTGAACGCTTTATTGAAAATTTTAATGGTGCGACTATTTTTTAAAAGTAATATAGTCAATCAAAAAGTTTTATAGAAATTGATATTTATACATAGAGAATAAATTACTAAATGAGATGTTAGAGGTAATTTGGAGATTTAAATATATAAGAATATGGTGAAAATTTATATATTTAATTATGGAAGTATAGTGTGACATTTGCAATTCATTATAAAGGTAAAATAATGAATCAAAAAATTTTCATGTTAAAATATTTTTATTAGTAGTATAGATATTGTGCGACGCGTGTGTTGTATGCAATGAGTGTGTTTTTGTTGGGCTATGTACTGCATGAGTGTGTGTATTTGTTTGTTGTGTGTGATGAGTGAGAGAGAGAGAGAGAGTGTGTCTGTGTGAGTTTGCTGTGTGCGACGAATGCATGTGTTTGCTGTGAGTGTATGGGTGGAGAGAGAAAAGAGAGGGGGAGTTTATTTGGGGGGGGGGGACAGTTGTGGATCATTGTGTAAATGAATTTTATTATTTTTTGTTCTTTAAAATTATTGTCAAAAATAAAAATATATGATTACACAGGTTTTGGAATATAAAAATATACTTTTTTAAAACTCTTTTTAAAAAATATTTTTGAATAATATTTTTTGAGATGCAATTCAAACACTTCCATAAATTTTTTTAGTTTTAAATTCTATTTTTAGAAATTTATCGATAAGTATTGCACTACACAAGTTCAAATTTTAACCCCCAAAATAGTGAAGTTTAAATTTGTCATCATAATTTTTCAATCATTCTCTCCCCCTCTCTCTTACCATCAAGTTCAATTATTATAATAAAAGATTGAATATTAAATTTTAATTAATATTTTTATATTTTAAATAAATTTATTATTGATATTAAAAATAAAAAAATCTTATTTATTGTTTTTGTATTAAGCCCCAAAATTTCTTGGACCGACCCCGAGGTACAGAAGTGTTTGTGGGGGCAATTGCCCCCNAATTATTATAATAAAAGATTGAATATTAAATTTTAATTAATATTTTTATATTTTAAATAAATTTATTATTGATATTAAAAATAAAAAAATCTTATTTATTGTTTTTGTATTAAGCCCCAAAATATCTTGGACCGACCCCGAGGTACAGAAGTATTTGTGGGGGCAATTGCCCACTCTCAATCTTTTCGTGCAAACACTTTTTTTGTACCTATTTTAATTATATTTAAGATTTGCCCTCGCAAAAAAAATCCCATAAAATTATATACTTTAATTTACTTAATTATTTTTTATATTTGGATTAAATTGTTTTTATTCTCAATTAAGTGAACTCCACTAATATTTAGTTAAGTTGAGTTCCTTAAAACGTGTATAAGAAAACTTTTTGAACCCTATATTCCCTCTTACCCACTTCTTACGATTGTTAATTTATTTTTATAATATGAAAAAAATANTGCCCTCGCAAAAAAAATCCCATAAAATTATATACTTTAATTTACTTAATTATTTTTTATATTTGGATTAAATTGTTTTTATTCTCAATTAAGTGAACTCCACTAATATTTAGTTAAGTTGAGTTCCTTAAAATGTGTTTAAGAAAACTTTTTGAACCCTATATTCCCTCTTACCCACTTCCTACGATTGTTAATTTATTTTTATAATATGAAAAAAATAATTTTGTATGCACCAAAATTTGTATCAAATTAACTGTAGTCGTTAGATCAATGAAAGGACACACAAATCCAACGACTGCAAGTGATTTAGTACAAGTTTTGGTGCATATTTTTTGTGCACATAGCATTGCTCATATAAAAATTAAACGGGAACAATTGCAAATGTAAGATTTCTCCATTATTATCTAGGCGTCAATATTTCAAGTTATGGAAACATTATCTCACATGCGAGATAAGATTGTAAAAATTTAATCCTTCCCAAATCTTGCAGTAGCGGTAACATATGCACTAGTTCCCTTTTTTTTTCACTATTAGTTCAAAAAATTAAACGTACTATTCTTTAAAGTGAAAGACTATTAGGATATAGTATGAGAATCTAATCTATTGTCATCATGGAATTAACAATTAGTCTTTTAACATTGAAGGCAATTTACTTTGCTAAACTATGAAAGTAATGCAACAAGCCTCTATATTAAGTACAATCGTCTATTATTGTTGTTGAAATTTTTGCCCTCACTATGCTAAATTTGTGGGCCCCTGCCTACGAAAGGTAATAATCTATAATAATAAGATAGAATTTAATTTGAATCTATTTCCACTTTAAAATTTAATTTAATTTAAATTCATTTGAGAAAGTACAAGGACGGTTCAGATTTCCTCTCAATTCTTCTAACTTAATCTAGAGGCTCACATTTCATCTCACATAAAAAAAAATCCCGCCTAAATCAAACCTACCCCCTACACGCTACCCTCTCCTGCAATCTACCCAAATCCCTTACAGCTACTCTCTCTCTTGTTCACCAGTCACCTCCTCTGCCATGGCTCATGGCTCAACACAGCGGCAGCACTGCTACCCAGACCCCTCTACCCAAAACCCTCTCACTCCTCTACTATGACTCAGCGACAGCACACACTGTTCACACCAATCTCAGCGACAACACCAGCGGCGATCAACACCCTTTCACCAGTCTCACCAACCTCAGCCCAGGTACCTCCCTCTCCCCCTCTCTTTCGCTCAGCACCCTTTCACCAATCTCACCAAGCTCAGCCCAGTTGCAATGGGGGTTTTCTTCTTTTTTTATCTTCTTTCTTCTTTTTTTGGAGGTTGGTTGAAGCTTTTGGTCAGCCTGTATAATCGTTAATCTTTGATTAATCTTCTTTGTTTTCTTTTATTTGGGTGGAGATTAAAGTAATTGAATATTAGGTGAGAAGGATTGGTATATATTTTCAAGTTTCAGGATGTGGTTCGTTGGATGAGAACATGACCATGACGAATAGTGTGAAGTTGTCTGTATTCACAAATTGTTGCTCTTAAAGCAATTCAACTTATTTAACTACCTTTTTCCAATTTGTTTGCACGTGAAACTTAATGAAATTCATATGGAAAAATAGCCTTTTCATTTTTGCATTGTAAGCACATTCTTTATATTCTGTGTAGTAGTTTAATTAGTTGATTGAGGCAATATATTTTTTCTATCACTTTCTGAATATTGTATTCTCTGTTGATTGAAGAAAAATGAAGGAAATGTAGTTCGGCAATGTGTATTTTGGGCGAAAAAATATAACTAGACCCAAGTATATGTCTTCCTCGTTATTCGATTATGATATATTCATCATGCTTGGACTATGATATATTGATTATAAATTTTTTATGGTTAATAACATTTTTAGTCTCTAAAGTATGCATGTCAAAACATCCGTTAAAAAGAACACATATGCATATTTTAGTATATATTTTTTTGTTCATTTCAATTTTGTATGAATTCTGGCCAAAGTGGATATATAATCTTTGATTGGATATGTTAGGGGATACAAGTGTAAATTTATTATCCCATAGATTTGGTATTTCTTAGGACCAACAAGATTTAAAGGTGGCTGGCCAAACAATGACTTGGATTGACAACATATATTATCCAAGCCAATGAAAGTGGATGAGATTCATTGGGTTGGATGTTATATTGTTTTGAATGTTCAATTGGTTTGAATGTTATAGTTTGGATTTTTTGAATATTCAATTGGTTCGAATGTTATATTACATTGCCTAAGACATAACGAAAACCCATTCACCTCAGTCCAAGTACCTCTCTCTCCCCCTCTCTTTCGCTCAGCACCCTTTCACCAATCTCACCAAGCTCAGCCCAGGTGCAATGGGGGTTTTCTTCTTCTTTTATCTTCTTTCTTCTTTGTCTGTTCAATTTTTGGAGGTTGGTTGAAGCTTTGGGTCTTCTTTGTTTTCT